CAATAGACCGATGTCACCAAGCGAACTGTGCAGGCGCGAGCAATCCGGAAGTGGTGCCGCCGCCATGCAACTTGTAGTCATCCCTTTCCGGCTTCCTAGCTACATAGGGCTGCGCGTACATCATTGTAGATTATTATTGGGGACGCCCCTGTATCAGCTTGATTCTCCTGCATGTCTGTACCTCATAAGATCATGTTGTTTGCGATGCCTTGGTTTATATACAAGCGTAGAAAAGCAGTTGCAGTCGTCTCATCACTTTAGAATCGCTTTGTTGCCTGCTTCTTCGTCTTCGTGAACGCGCGAGGCCACAGCCGTTCACGCGGTGATCCCACTGCGGCCGCGGAAAAAGAAAAATGACTCCCCTAGCTTCTTGGATGTCTCAATTAACTTAAAACAAGTGAACATCTAGTGCAATGTACAACACTCGCCCCTCTTTCCCACTTACCCTCAGCGTTATCTCTCTGTGCGAGCCGAACACATAGCAGTGTTTATCTGAACAGAGTTTGGCAGCTTGAGAAGCGAGGATCAAACAAAAAAGATTGAGGACACCCCGAACGACATGCGCGCATGCGCAAACGTCACCTATCAGTTCCAGCTGGCGCTGCTAGATAGCGCAGCAATGCAGTTCAGTCCAGAGCTGTATATGGGGAGAGTTTGGCCAGTCTAAGATCTCACCGCTGTAACGCTCCCCTCCCAAATGAGCCAATCAGTCCGCGGCGCAGAGCGAGAGGCGTGAGCGCATGCACGTGAACTCCCGGCTGCTCCCAGCAGAGCGGGGAGGGCCGCCATTTTTATTCATTCGCCCGGCGGAATGCATGGGATCGACACCCAAATTTCGGTTATTTCTTTTTATGTGGCAGGCTCTGGCAAGAAAATGATAGTGTTACTCCTCGGTGGCTTAAGAAACTATTGAACGAAGTTTCTCCACGTTTTAACGTAAACATTTATTCAGGCGAAAAAGAAATAAGCCGGTAGCAGACGATGCGTAGCTTCAACAGTGCTCCGAGCCGACAGCGCTGCGTCAAAATGACGGTCGTCTCCTCTTTGCTCCCTTCTTCCTCTCTCACTCCTTTGGCGCTCTACTCCCTTTCCTTCACTTTTCTCTTCTCCGGCGCCTTCGTCGCCATACCCACTGGCCAGACTCTCCCCATATACGGCCCTGGTTCGGACTAAAGTTTGGTTGCTGCTCGGGCGCTCTGTTTTACTTTGAGGGGACCTGTACAGAGCGCGACACTGTTACCGTGAACAAGCGATCGCCAGTCTTTCCAGTTTTTCTTTTTGAAACAAAGGGATGTCATCCAAGTTATTATTGCTACGGAAAGTACTGATTTAGTTCTATAATGTAAGCGAAAAATTTCGTGCTCGCTAATACTGTTTAGAAGTAAAATTTGAAAATGCGCCGATGTCGTGTTCGCGCTAACAGTATCGCGAAGTGTACCATACACTGATCTCTATGGCTATTTGCTGGATCGCGTTTGACCAGCTCAGCCTATAAACGGGAATGCGGCCACGGTCGGCCATCTTTTTGGTAGAGTTATATTATCTCTAGCCATCATAGTAATATGGCGGACGGCGCAACGGCGGCAGGCTACCATACAAGGAGGTTAGAAGTACTAGGAGGGCGCACATTGCAATATTGGTGAAGCCTAGTCATAAAAAGTTTAAACGATGTTGTGGCCAACGTGACCGTAGATCTCTCTGGCAATTGGTGCGCGTGACATGTCACGTGTGAGATGGATGGTTGATTGTAGAAGGACTCCTTGCAGGCTTGCGCGCGCTCCATCCGGTAGGTTTTATCAGATCGAAGGCTAGACTGTGGTGTATTCTAGTACCCCATAGCTAGACGAAGGCTAGCTACGGTCACGTGATGTGGTCACATGGCCTGGAAAGTGAGGATAGTAAGGAGGAAAATGAAAAAGAGGCGAGGCGTCAAGGGAGCATGGCTTGTGGAGCCTACGCGGCTGGCGTCATGCCCTCTCCTACCCTTCTATCCTCCTCGCTACCATAAAATAGCCGTGGATCTAGCACACTGTACCGTGGGTGATATCTCGTGCTTGATTGAAGTTGTTCGACGAAGCAGATTCTTGAAACTCGGCGTGAACGGTAGCCTCACCTTTGAGGACCCGGCGAAAGTTCTACGAAAGCGCAGCACCGGGGGAAAGGAGCGCAGCTCGCATCAAAAGCAGATTCCGTACCGGCGTCTGCTTTCGATGCTTCTTTCGATGCGACTTTCAATGCGTGCTGTGCTGCTTTTCCCCGGTGCTGCGATTTCGTGAAACTTTCACTGGGTCCTCAAAGCGCGGGCTACCGTTCACGCCGGGTTTCAAAAATATGTTTCGTCAAACAATTTCAATCAGGCACTTAATATCACCCACGCTATTTTGATGGCAGCCTGCGACCACAACTGCCATAATGCTGTCTGCCATGGATGGATGATAGTGGCTGCAGCAGCTGTACCTTGGCTAGAGGTAATATAACTCTACCAAAAAGATGGCCGCCATTGGCCGCATTCGCGGAGCGGGCAAAACGCGATCCAGCAATCGTCATAGAGATCAGTGGTACCATACATACAACAGGGTTGCCAGGTTGGGCTATTAATAGCCAAATTGGGCTACCTTGTCATGCATTTGGCGTCGAAATTTGGCGGTTGGCTATGTAGCTATTTTTGGGCTATTTCAAATCCTAACGCGGCACATATATATATATATATTTTTGCTTGGTTTAGAGTAGTTGCACAAAAGATACTTCAGCATGGACACAAGGCGACAGTCCACCCTTTCTGAATTCCCGCTTGTATGGATTTTTCGCGTGAAGATTCGTGAGCGTGATGCCAAAACCTATTAGCTCAAGTGAGTTACCGTGACCTATATTCAGCTCCGACGACATCGCTTTTGTGGTAATTGTGGCTTATTTTATGCTCCCAAGTTCTTTCTGCTTACTACTGGCGTCTCTTCTTTCCTCGAGTTTTCCACCATCCTCCTACAGGAAGCACACCATCCGAGGGAAAATGATACTAAATGCAACTCAAGACATCCTGCAGAATTTGATGTCGCCCGATAACGCGTGCTGTATCGGATATAACAAAGGAGGCTTTTCCACGAAACATGGAAGTTTCTTAAAGCACAATGAGCCATAACAAAAGACAACAAATTCGGGACAATGAATATTCCGAACAAGGCCAAGATCAATGCGCAGGAGCAGCCCTGTTTCCGTTGCTATCCGAGCTTGCCATCGCGCTCCAGACACTGCGCATGTCGAATGCCGCCGTGGAGAGAGTATTCAGTCATGTGTCTCTCACAAAGTCAGTCCTAAGGTAGAACATGTTCTTTCCAACTCTTCAATGCGTCCTCTATGTAAAGTGTGCTTTCCTTGGGAAGAACGAGTTCTGTAAGGACATCAACCCTACTGAAGAAGTTTTGCCCGTTTTAACACGGAAATCATGTATGAGGCGGAAAAGCCGGGCACGAGCGTGTGCTTCATAACTATGCGACTTCAAAAACGCGTGTGGAAAATTTTTGTACTTTTGTGTTTGAAATAAAACATTCAATACATTTCAAGATGTAGATCTTGCAAGCTACTCCTAAACCCTAGATATGCAGACGCAGTGTCTCCGAATTGAGCTCCCACATTCAAGCGCGCAATTTTTTGGGCTCTGCAGAATATGGCTACTCTTGGGCTACATAAATTTCTTGTATTTGGCTACTTTTGGGCTACGCCGTCTGGCGTTTGGCGGTTTCAGCTAGAAACTACCTGGCAACCCTGACATACAACACCACTGTGCATCGTTCCGGGACTCACGTACGCAAATGGCGTACTCGTCCTCTCATCGCAAACAAGGGCCTTCCTGGAGAGAAGACAGAGGGATGCGGGAAGAATGGCCTTGGCAGTTTCAAGAACAGCACCCAACGAGGGTGTCCAGGGGGACTTGGGCTGGTCGTCCTTCGAGGCCAGAGAAGCCAGCGCCAAGGCACTGTACGAGAGGAGAGTGCACAGACTCCCGGATGGGAATTGGGCCCACCGCACCCTGCGCTACATGATATACCAGGGAAGAGGCACCAAATGGATGCAACGCCTCCGAAGGCTGCGGGACCGCTATGGTTTCGAACCGATCTGTCTGGAGTCAGCGGGCGAGAGCCGGGAGGGCCCAGCGGCAATCAGAAAGGGCATCCGAGCAGTGGAGACGGAGAGATGGAGAGCGGGAGCGGCGGCGAAGCCGTCCCTCGCGATGTACTGCGCGGAGAAAAAGGCCATAGGGAAAGAGCCCTGGTACGACAACTCGACAGGCAGTGGACTCCTCGCAGAGGCCCGCATGGGCACATTACGGACCCGGGTGTGGAGGGCCAGGTTCACGGAGGGACAGGAGAGGACGTGCACACTCTGCGGGCAGACCGACGAGACGATGGAGCACCTAGTGCTGCAGTGCCGGCACATTGTACCGGTCCCAAGTACAGAGGTGCTACCTGTAGCACTCGGTTTCCGAATCGGTGCAGAACAAGGAGAGGAAGAACAAAAGAACGTTCGATCGGCGGTTGACGTGACGAAGAGGCGGCTGGAGGTCTGGTGGAGGGAGACGCATCGGCGGAGGGAATGCAACCGATCAGCGGAACATCAAGCGGAAGCGGAAGTCGCGGGAGGCGCGACAGGCTAGATCCAGTACTTGTTGCTGTTGATCACCCCATACAAAGGGAAGAGCCGCAGAGCCGCAGACTCCAATCCAATGCAACACGAATTTGACAACGAAAATGGAACCTCACAGATCTTGGCGGTCCCCATTGGGCCCCCACAAACAAAATTCAAATGAAAAATTTCTCGGACTGCACGCCATTTACCGAGTGCACTAATGAAACGCAGAGTTTTAGAACGAGTCTGTGAGAAGATAAGCCAAGCATTTATTTAACGAAGATTACCCATGTGTCTCTGTCCCGCTTTGGGATTCCGAGGTCTTTAAGAAAGAAAGCCTGCGTTTGAACCACTCGAAGGGCATAAAATCATAACCATACCTTCCCCTTTGAGTGCGCAGCCAGCGGATAGAAAGGCAGTCAGCTCCTACTGCCAAAACTTGCGATGTTCGCGACAAAACGTGCGAGCGAGCGCACTCCACACTGCGCGCCGCCATTTCTAAAAAAAGTAACGGATACAAGGCTAGAGGAATGGCAATCCCGTATACTTATGTAATAGCACCCCTGGTTACAAGCATAGTTTTCACTCTTGCATCGTGCTTCCCACTGTTTACAACCTTTCTATTGTATCAAATTTTATAAAATATGCGCCGATTTACTTATTTGCATAAATTTTTTTAATAAGTGATTAAAACGAACGCTTTTTAGCGCCACCATTGTGATCACATACAATGTTGTTGCAGTTATGTTGGTTATGCCATGCCGTTATGTCGTTATGGAACCGTTTGAACGACTGGTTTGAACAGTTTGTCTTTTCTCTTAGTTTTGCGGATGACAAATTGTACCACCAAAAGAAAGCGACTTTGAAAGACGAGAGGCCCAAGAAGGCCAAGAAATGACGGAGAAATCCGGGTAAGTGTAAACGGCTGCTAGCACAAACTGCGTTGGTGGTTGTTCCTCTGCCTCAACCATACAAACCCCCTACAAAAGAAAACGTTGTTTTTAAGACCAAGACCGACAGCACGGGAGAAGCATGTAGCACCTAAGACAAGTAATGTAATGTCTGACACGGACTGTGTATTGCTGTTTGTGTGTTGACTAGCTGGTAGGTTTTACTTCTATTTTGGATAACTATTAAGGGTGTGGGAATAGGGAAATTTTAACTCTAATCGAATAGTAGCCAAAGCGACGAATGTCGTATTAAATACGAACACTAAAATTTATCCGCTGTGCTCAGAAAACTAAACGCGGCCCTATTTTTCTGCGGTGTCTCGGTGACAACTACGTCGACGTGCGATAGCATTGCTTGTCTTCTATGAAGGTTATATTCCGCCGATTAAATTGCAACGAGCCCGATGGCTGGAAACTAAGCATCGGATGTTTGTACATTTGCATTTGATAAAGGTGTTGAAATTCAGCACGTCACCACTTCTGTTCAGTGTTCATTGTTTGTCGACTCCAGTGATGGAACCACACATGTGCTCGTCAGCCATGTTTATTGCCCGACGCCTAACCGGGCTGCCGCCACTGGCCACTTAGTGGGGGCCAACAGAAACAGCCACAATGCCATATTGTAACATCCCCTTTCTTTTGGGAGTGTCGAGTTATCAGATTCTTAAGGTACATAGTCCTTCAGATAGTTCGGTACTCGGCGTTCACGAACTGGTCGGGTACTTGGGCTGCTTGGAACCCCTGATGTTGCCTTCACCGGATTGCTCTGCGGCTCGGCGACACAGCTGTCTCCCGCCGGGCCTTCATCCTGATGGTGGCTTTCGGTCTCATCGTTCTCCACTTCGGTTTCTTCGTAACCGTTCCACGTTGGGGGTGGTACCTTCCGCAGGAAGACTCTATTTCGCCGAAGCTTATTTCCATTCGTTTCAACATCATACGATCTGTTCTTTGCCCTATGCACGATTACTCCCTTGTCCCATGTGCGTTTTCCTGTAGGTTGGATGCACACATTGTCTCCTTGGTGTAGTGGCGGTAGATCTTTCGCCTTTGCGTTGTAATGGTTCACCATTTTGTACCTCAATAGTTGTTTTTCACACTTGCAGTTGATGATCCGTGGACGTAGCAGCATGGTCGTGGTAGGGAGGGTGCTTCGGGTTCTCTTTCCCATCAGTAGCTGCGCAGGGCTGGCATTTAGTCCTTGTCTCGGTGTGTTCCGATACTCCAGTAGTGCTGGGTAAGGGTCACTTCCATCCATCATTGCTCGCCATAGTATCTTCTTTGCTGTTTTTACAGCAGCTTCAGCCATGCCGTTCAACTGCGCATGTCCTGGGCTCGATGTCATGTGTTCGAAGTCCCATTCCCTTGTAAACTTCGCAAACTCTTCACTCAAAAATTGCGGGCCATTGTCGCTGACAAGAACTGATGGACTGCCATATCTTGCAAAGTGCGCTTTCATTTTCCGGATAACTGCGGCTGATGTAGTTGATCGCAGTTGGTCTACTTCGAAAAATCCACTGTAGTAGTCTACGATCACAAGGAATGTTTTTTCTTTGCATTCCACGAGGTCTGCACCCACTCGCTCCCATGGTTCGCTTTTCATAGGGTGAGGCTTCAGAGTTTCCTTCTGTTGTCTGTCGGAGTGAGCTTGGCATATCTCACATGCCATGATGTAGTCTTTCAATTCCGAGTTCATCTGTGTCCAGAATACACACTCTCGTGCTCTTCGAAGTGTGCCTTCCACGCCCATGTGCCATGCATGAAGTTTCTTTTTGATCTCGTCGCGCAATGTAGCGGGCACGACAAGTCGCTGTCCTTTGTAGATGATGTTACTTTCAACAGTTAGTTTGTCCCGAACAGTGAAGTATGGCTTCTCCTCTGGTCGGACGTCGCGCTTCGTGTCAGGCCATCCTCTTAGGATTGTTGTTTTCACTCTCTGTAGAACTGGGTCTTTGAGTGTTGCCTCCTTGATCTTCTGTATTGTCTTTGCTGACATTGGGAGGTAGTTCACAACGTTGACATCAGCAAACTGTTCTGGCATTACAGTCTCTTGTAGATATGCCCTTGACATAGTGTCCGCCAGGACGAGCCCCTTCCCTGGTCGGTACTCTATTGTGATGTCATACCTTTGAGTCTGGAGGAGCATTCCTTACAGTCGTCTGGGGACCTGATCTAGTTGCTTGCCAGAGATTGACTGCAGAGGCTTGTGGTCCGTGATGACTCTCGTATGGCGACCAAAAGTGTACTGATGAAATTTGCCCAGTGCAAAGACCACTGCCAGCGTCTCCTTCTCGATTTGTATGTATCTGCACTCTGTTGGAATCTGAGCTCTGCTTGCAAACGACACAGGTTGTCCCTCTTGAAGGAGAGCTGCTCCCAATCCTTTTTCGCTTGCGTCGCACTGCACTGTCAGTTCCTTCTTGGGATTGTAGTAGGCAAGGATCGGAGCTGTCGTGACCAGCTGTTTTGCTTCCTGGAATGCTTGTTTCTGCTCCTTTCCCCATGCCTATGGCTCGTCCTTGTTGGTTAGTCTTCTTATGGGTTCCAAGATCTGCGATATCTTTGGTAAGAACCTTGCTAAGTAGTTGATCATACCGCACAGTCTCATGACTCCTGGGACATCTGTTGGTGATGGCATGTCCTTGATGGCTTTCACTTTTTCTGAATCCAGCCTCAGCCCATCCTTTGTCAGTTGGTGTCCCAGGAAGACCATCTTGTCTCTTTTGAACTCATTCTTTGTCTCGTTAAGCCTGATGCTAAGCGTCTGGCATCGCCACTGCAGGTTCTCAAGATTGCGATCATGATCACGCTCTGCCTCTTCCGTGCTGGCTCCTACACCACATACCAGGATGTCATCTTCAACACAGTGGACACTCTTCAGGCCGTCTAGCGCTGCTTGTAGACGCTTTTGGAAGATCTCACTGCTCACCGCAAGTCCAAACGGAAGTCTTAGCCATCTGTAGCGACCTGCTGGGGTTTGGAATGTTGTTAGCATGCTTGACTCTTTGTCTAACACATACTGCCAATATCCATCTCGGAGATCCAGCTTTGTGAAGACTTTTGCTTTCGCTAGCTCCGGCAAGATGTCGTCTAAGACGGGTAGTGGATGCCATTCTCTTCCTAGTGCATTGTTGAGTGCTTGCGGGTCTATGCAGATTCGCAAGTCGCCTGCCTTCTTTCTTGCGATCACCATGCGGCTCACCCATGTCGTCGGCTCTTCCACTTTTGTTATGACGCCTTTCTTCCATCTGTTGCAGCATCGTTGCAAGTTGTGGTTTCACACTAACCGGCACTCTGCAGCGCCTGTCACTGCTTTTGGTTGCGCTTCTGGGTCAGTGACCAGATGTACTTTTCCTAGGAGTGTTCCTAGGGCTGATCCAAACACGTCTGGGTACCTCTTGACAATATCATTTCTGGTGGCTACACTTGCCGTTCCCTTTTCTACCTTTGCCACCAAGTGATAATCGATGGCAATAAGGCCCATCTTTCCTGCTGTTTCTCTCCCAACGAGAGGCGTGAGCTCTTCGTCCACGACAATGAATTCCGCCTTGTGTTTCTTGCCATTTTTTGTGGTAGCATCCAACTTGCACTTTCCTGCTGGAGTCACTGTGCTGTCATTCCACATTCTCAGGGTTGTTCTTGTAGGCATAATCTGTTCAGGTCTCACATCCTTGCTTGTGATGACGTTTACAGCAGCACCGCTGTCAACTTGAAATTTCAACTCATTGCCGTTGATGTGCAGTGTTGTGAATATCGATTTCTTTGTGTCACTCCTGCTTATGGGAAGGATCTCTTCGTCTGAGCTCTCGCTGGCTTCCACATTTGCCACATTCTTGGCTCTACACTCTGCTGCAAAGTGATTCTTTCTCTTGCACTTGTTGCACGTTTTCTTCCACGCCGGGCACGCTTGCTTTGTTCTCTCATGGTTCCCGCCACAGTATCCACAGTTGTGCTGCTGCGGTGTCTGTTTCGGCAACTTTTTGGCGTTGACTCTGTGACGCGTTTCCTTCACGCCATGCACGCTGTCGGTCGGGGTAGCTCCGTTCTTGAATGCCTTCAGTTGAGACTTCGTCGTCTCTTGTGCTAGGCAGATTTGCACCACCTTTTTAAGCTTCGGGTTATCGGTCTTCAAGATGTCGGCGCACGCTTTTTCATTGTTAGTACCAACGACAACTTGGTCTCTGATCATTTTGTCCCGCTCTGCCCCAAAGTTGCAGTCTCTTGCTTTCGATTTGAGATCCGTAAGAAGGCTGTCGAACGTCTCTTGTTGTTGAGTACGGCAGCGGAACACATACCTGGAGTAGACTTCGTTTCGCTTCGGCGCAAAATGGCTCCCCAGTTTCGTAAGCACGTTTTCGTAGTCGAGCTTTGGGTGTGGTCGTGCCGTTGTTGGAGTTCCAAAGTCAATTGTGTTGCAGGCATCGAGTAGTGCTGGACCGTCGGCAATTAGAAGTATAGCCACTTTCTGTTTGTCCGGCTTGCTTGCCGTTTCTGTAGCCTTCAGATAGAAGTTGATCGCCTGCTTGAACGCCCGCCACTGCTCGGCGGCGTTGCCGGATGCGGAGAACTTCGGCGGTGGTGCCAGTCTCTCCATCACTTCTTTATCGGGGCACAGATGGTCAGTAACTCACTCGTTTTCCTTTTCCAAATTTTTAGGATCGACAATGATGACCACTTCTGACACCATGTTCCTTGTTTGTCGACTCCAGTAATGGAACCACACATGTGCTCGTCAGCCATGTTTATTGCCCGACGCCTAACTGCGCTGCCGCCACTGGCCACCTAGCGGGGGCCAACAGAAACAGCTACAATGCCATATTGTAACATTCAGCACTCTTCAGTCTGCTCCTTCATCTTGCAAAGCATTGTGAAGACTGCGGCTCATCCAGTGAGTGCCTCGGCTTGAGACCCACCCGTGCATGCTATAGCAAGGGGAGAATGGCACGTAATAACTTATCAATTCG